CCTAAAGCCAGTCTCGATTGAGGGGGTTGATGTGGGGTTGGCCAGGACCTACAAATATTTGGGTATACAACTGGATGATAGGCTAGACTGGTCAGTGACCACGGACTCCCTCTACAGGAAGGGTCAGAGCAGGCTCTACTTCCTGAGGAGGCTTGGGTCCTTCAGCATCTGCAGGAAACTACTGCTGATGTTCTACCAGTCTGTGGTAGTCAGTGTCCTCTTCTGTGCTGTTGTGTGTTGGGGAGGCAGCATTTAGACGAGAGATGCTGGGCGACTTGACAGGCTGGTGAGCAAAGCTCGTTCTGTGATGGGAGCACAGCTGGAGTCCCTTACATTGATGGCAGAGTGAAGGGCCCTCAGAAAGCTACTATCCATCATGGATATCCTGATGCATGCTCAATAATCCAGGTAGAAAAATCTAAAAAAGTTAAATCTGGTCCTCTGGACATTCAATAAAAACGAAACAAAAAAAAATTGTAGAAACGTTTCGTCTTTCATCCGAAACATTGTAAGTGACAGAGTTAATCATGCTGATAATTGGTCTTAAAGGTACAATCTCAGGAAGTCCAACATTTCACTGATCACATCAACTCTGTGGGTAAATATATCAAGTTCACACGAGAAAATGTAAAAAATGGCAGGTTTATTGTTTTTAAAATCTTCAAAATAGATCCAGCCGCTGCTCCGCATCCAGAGAAATTGTAAATGGCGGCTCAGTGAAAAGTTTCTGAGATCAAGTGACTCCTCCCCCTGACCAATCAGAGTCCTGCATTCACGTTTCGGTCCGGACTCGGCTCAACTGAACTTGCTTGTTCCCACCAGAGAAGCAGGGACGAAAAGAGGTCCTGAATCAGCCTCAAATCAGCTAAATATACTAGCTAAAGTACTGGTGCAAAAGGGTTATTTCTGTGGTGGGCTGCCCAGAATTGGCAGTGCAAAAAGGGCACAAGATACACGTGCATTAATGAGGCTGGACTGCTGCGGGATGATGCGGACAGCACGAGGGAGAGTGACGATGAGAGCGACAAGGAGCCAGTGTGTGATAGTATTTTGAGCCTCTTGAATTCTGACTATGAAAAAGAGGTTTCATTGCACAGAGGATGGAGAACAGAGCGATGAGTGACTCTGGTCGACCATCAATGCTTTTTTATTTTTATTTTTTTAGCCGTGTTAAAGCTGTCTCATCCAGTTGTTCAAGATGTGAGCTCAGCTGAGCAGAAGTGCTCTAATCAGTCAAGTCTGTACATCCATCCATCCATCCATTTTCTTTACCCGCTTATTCCATTTTGGGTCACGGGTTCGCTGGTGCCCATGTCCAGCAATCACTGTGCGAGGGGCGGGGTACACCCTGGACGGGTCGCAAGTCCATCACAGGGCCACACAGAGACAAACGAGACAAACAACCATTCACTCTCTCACTCACACCTAGGGACAATTTAGAGTTACCAATCAGCCTAACATGCATGTTTTTTTTTTGGACTGTGGGAGGAAACCGGAGTACCCGGAGAAAACCCACGCATGCACGGAGAGAACATGCAAACTCCACCCAGAAAGGCCCCTGGACCGGGGTTTGAACCAGGGACCTGCTCGCTGAGAGGCAGCAGCTCTACCAGTTGCGCCACCGTGCTGCCCCAAGTCTGTACATATTTTAATAAAATTTTCAAAATTATTTGTGTGACATCTTTCTGTGTACAGTACATGTGTTTAAATACAGAGATCTACGTCATTTAGGTCGTTTTCACACTAGATAGTCCGGTAGACTCGGTTCGGTTCGGGACCAATATTCATGACCTTTTGTTTACATTTGAGCTGGTGAGTTTGCATTCACACTGGACTGTGCAGTCGAGTCAACCTGTTGAACCAACCTATTCCCCCGCTCACCTGTGGGGGCGCTGCACCAAGAACTACTGAAAGAAACGACACAAAAACCTCTGAAGACACTTCTTCTTCTTCTTCTTCTTCTGTAAATAAAAATAAAAATGAAGTGGCATCAAGTTTTAGCAGCTTTAGGAGTTATATTTTGTCATTTTTCAAAAATGGACTTAGCATGAGCAGAAGATGAGACAGAAGACCATGGAGAATATTGTTTTTCCACACAAGGCAGCGGACGGCTCCATATAAGGTCAGAGCAATGCGTGTTTGTTTACCCTGAGGAGCGGGGCCCGGTCTGTTTACATTCACACTGTACTCGAACCGTGCTGGAGTTCGCTTCTACTGGACCGAGACCTAGGTTTTAGCCCGGGCCAGAGTTTGCCTTTTTGTTCCGTGACAGAGTTCGATGGCGTGTTCACACCTCCCTAAACGAACCGGACTTTCAAGGAAAACGAGCTAGAGTTCGATTAAAGCAGGGCTAGTGTGAATGCACCCTTACACTCGCATCCAAACATTAAACGGAGCGGAGACAACAGGTGGGGCTGTTCCCACTAACACCCCCCCCCCCCCCCCCCCAGTCAAGACTGGTACATATTTCTCAAAGTTTTAAAAAAATCTGTCTATGGTAAATGTGTTTAAATACCAGTAGGTATATTATTTAAGCTCGACTCACTCATGAAACTGAGCGGGGGAAAGGGAGGGGGGCTGTTCCCCTTTACTCCCTCCTCTCCTCATTAGCGCTGAAGCGAAATCCCGTCATTTTTATTTCAGATAAGATCATTTGAAAGTAAAGGTAGATTTAAAAACAGCAGCTGATACCAAAGCTATTTAACAATAAAAATTAGTGGTTCTACCAGTGATTTAATGAATATTTACCGGTACCACATTTTATCTGTACTATTGTATTTCACTTCCTGTCACTTGACCCCGTTAAGACTTTTGGATAATATTTCCAGGTTTGTATAATTTTAAAATAATTTCAGTTACGTAGGTGTTTGACACTTGTATTTTTAGTGTTTTATGCCCAGTGATTATGCTTACCAGTAGATATTTGCCAGTATTCTGTTCATTTTAAGGGTATAATGTTTGTTACGATGAGTCAAAACCTGAAGCTTTAAGTATACCTAGGATGACCACTCAAGCTTAGTGCATGTTAAAAGCAAGCCATAGGCTGTGATTGCCATCAATTGGCTGATTTTCATCAAGTACAGCACAGACAAAGCTGCACATTTATATTCACTGTACAGTGAATACCTGCGGCTTAACAGCTGGTGCGTCTTATTTATGTACAAAATTATGATTTATCTGGTTAATCCCAACTTGAGGACTCATTTACAAGAGAGACCTGAATGCATATATAAATATATGTTAATCATGAATGTAGTACACCGATGCACTGATAAATCAGCCAGCCGATTTCCTTAATTTTGGGAAATCGGAAATCGGCCGATACTTGCATGAGAAACCAATTTTACCAATTTTTTTTTTTATTTTTTTTATTTTTTTTTTAAGTTTTAACAACAATTGTCTGAACTTCTTTTATATTTCAGAGCACTACCTCATGGCCAGTTAAAACAAGTTTGTATTGTTTCTAGGATATTATTCAAGGGCATGTTTTTCAACAAAATAATATTGGAAAATTGAAGGTGCATTATGACCCTGTAACGCCTGACAGTGTCTCTTATTAAACAAAATCCGTATCAGCCAAAATTGGAATCGGCGCGTCAGACTTTTTAGAAATCGGTGATTGGTGATTGGCCAGAAAACTGCAATCGGTGCACCCTAGTACACCCTACCACCTTGTGCATATGCTTTTTTTTTTTCAAATTGTTGTGTTCTGTTTGTTTTTGATTATTGTATCATGCATTTTTGGTATATTTAGCAAATGCTACTGGATGCCTTAAATTTTCCACCTAGGATTACTTATGTCTATCCATCCATCCCTCCCTCCATCCATCCATCCATCCATCTATCCATTCATCCTCTATCATCTATTTATCTATATTTAGCAAATGGTAATGGATGCCTCGAGTTTCCCCCCCTGGGATTAATAAAATAGTCTTGTCTGTGTATATATCCATCCATCCATCCATCCTCTATCATCTATCTTATCTATCTCATACATCTCATATATATCATCTATCTGTCGTGGTGCGAGGTTTTCCCCTAGCTTTTGATGAAAAATATGATCTAGACAATCAGCTATGAGTATTAAAGCTTTGGTAAGTTCACTTAACAGTAAGCAATACCCAGCAAAATGTTGTCTGGAATGCAAGAAGTTTTCAGATGGGTTATATTGCTACATGTTACTTTTCTATCATATGGATCATATGGTACAGTTCAGTTAGGTACAACTAGCCTCGGTTCTGTTTCCTGCTGCAGTAACCCAGTTCAGTATGTCAAAAAATATAAAAACTTGTGGAAAGCAATGGATCACATAGAGTCCATACTTTCAATCTGTTGACCTGAGTATTCTGTGGTGAGCTGAGACCAGAACTCTTCTCTGACAGGAAGAACCAGAATCCATCAAAACCAGATGCGGGCCGCCAGCTGTCCTATCTGGCTGAAGGCTCAGAGGCCAGGACACACAAACACTGGACCAGGAGTATATTCAGTGGAAGAAGAAGAAAAATACAAAGTTATATTCAAGTATTAGCTGGTTATAAAACACAGCAACTTGTCTTTTTTTATGAAAAGTCCTAGTCAGCATCTCAGTGTGCTTTGTAGTACACATCTGAACCAGATATTACTCCAGCCTAACTCTTACAGCAATAAAGTACAGGAAAGACTCTCTGTCCCCCACCTCCCACCCCAGCCTCTCAGTCTCTTGAGCCAGACCCATGGAGCCACAGCCTGTCATTTCCCCCCGCCAAATCCAACTATGCACCCTGTGAGCCAAAACCAATGAGCCAAAGATGGGTCAGAGTGCTTGTGGCTATGATGTGGGGGAGTTTTTCTGTTAAAGAGTGCACCGACTTGTTCATTCACTGTTCATCTGTCCCTGTCACCAACAAGGATCCAAGGCCCTGTTCAAATCTTGCACTAAGGCCACATGGACTTTCCTTTTACTGGAAGTAAACAGCAGTCTGAGTAAAAACAACAAAAAAACTCTTTTTTTTGTTTTCCAGGTGATGAGGGAGGTGTGTGTTAACGGGACTGCAGATCTGGATGGGGCAAGATCTGGATCCCCCGTGTACAAAACCGAACTGGAAAAGGTAAAGACAATGCACACACTTGTACTATTTATTCTTTTCCTATTCATTATGTCATACCCTTTTTTATTAAAAGGTAATTTTGATTTTGATGTCAGCAACACATCTCCAGAAGTTTGGAAAAGGGCCACATTTCTTACTGTATATTATCCTGTCTTTTCAACAACAGTCTGTGAACGTCAAGCAATGGAGGAGACCAGTTGTTGGAGTTTTTGGAAATAATTATTCCCCATTCTTGTCTGCTGTGTTATTCTAGCTTTGTTTTGTTTCATGATGCATCAAATGGCTGAAATATTCAACTCAATTCAAAAATACTTTATTAATCCCAAAGAGAAATTAAATGTTGTACCTCATCATTCTGGTTTTATTAAAGAGTTGTTCTAGATGCTGATAGCTGTGGGCAGGAAGGATCTCTTGTAGCGGTCTGTCCTACAACAGATTTGAAGAAGCCTCTGACTGAAGACACTCTGTTGTTGTATGACAGTCTGATGAAGAGGGTGCTGAGGGTTGTCTATAATGTTCTTCATTTTATGAAGAATCCTTCTTTGTACAATCATCTCCAAAGGTTCTAGAGGAGTCTCCAGAACTGAGCCAGCCTTCTTTATGAGTTTGTTGATCTTTTTTAAGTCACTTGCTCTGGTGCTGCTACCCCAGCAGATGATGGCAGAAAAAGCATTTTTATCTTGTGTTGTTTTTATAAGCCAGATATCAAAGACAAATGTCCATTTCATTGAATGTTATGGACATTAAAGTTGAATTGATTGATTGATTGATTGATTGATAGCACTCTCTACAACAGACTTATAGAAGATATGTAGCATCTTGCTGCAAACACTGAAGGACTTCAGCTTCCTCAAGAAGTGCAGTCTGCTCTGCCCCTTCTTGTAGACGGCTTCATCATTGCATCTACAGTCCACTCTAAAGTGGAGCTATTATTTGAGCTTTTAAGTTGTTAATCAGCTGCACCCAGTTGTAAAAAACATCACCTTGTTGTCATGGCATCATAACAAATGTCCGAAAGTAAAATGGTCTCAGTAAAAATCCTTCCAGCTGCACAGCATCCGAAACCAGAGGAAATAATCATCCAAAAAAGCGATTTATATCCAGAAAAAAAGAGGAATTAAAGTTTTTAAAAGCAACATCCCAGAGTGAATGTAACAGAGCTTCTCCAACATGCAGCCACCTTGAGCAACGCAATTCTAGAAATATTCAAGACATAGTCTGGATAAGTTGTTGAACGATATGTTGATACTTTTCTGATGGAGCCTTTCACACTAATGCACCCCCATACCATTAGAGAGCCAGACTTTAAGTGTGAATTGATAGCATGTTGGCTGCTCCCTCTCCTTTTTAGAGGACATGGTTTTCAAAACATGGATCTGTTTGACCACAGGATAGTTCTGAACTTTGCTTCAGTCCAGCTCTGAGCTCTGGTCCAGAGAAGATGGCAATGGTTCTGGGTGGTGTTCACATCTGGCTTCTTCTCTGCCTGATAGAGCTTAAAGCAGCATCTGTGAACTGTGTGCAATGATCTATGGAAGTGTTCCTGAGCCCAGAACCTGTTTCTAATGCAATCCAATATTAATCTTCACATGGATTAATGTTCTCCATTGCTGCAACAGATTTCCATTATTTTGAATGTGGCCAGGGTAGATCTTCATCATCTGTAAAAATTAAGGGGGGGGGGGGGGTGTGACACAGGGATTAAACTGACACTGCTTTTGTCAAATAAAGAGAACCAGAGCCACAGTTTGGCCCAGTCAGAGTAGGAATGCGCGATATAAATGGTACACCGTAGAAACGATAGAAATTTTGCCTACGATAGAGATCTGACTTCTACCGACTAACCGCAGTAATGCTGTGTCTGATGTAAAATCAGAGTTTTCAGTTTAATCATTACTTTTTTTGTAGTTGAATACTGCGTAAGTGGTGTTCAAGTGTAAAATCAGAGCTGTCAGATTTAATTGTTACTTTTTTTGAGTTGAAAACTATGTGCAAGTGGTGTTAAAGTCTTTTGTTTGAGAGCTAAGTAGCAAAGCTACAAGCTAGTTACGGCCGGCTTGCCGTAGTGTTGCCGTATTCAGACGCATGCGCAAAACGCTGTGTTCCGTCGAAAGTTGTTTTTTCCCCCATCGAAAGTTAAAGTAAGCGCTGGTCAGCTTTAGAAAAACCTGCTCTCTGATCTGTGAAAGAATGCTGTGTTGTGTGATTTTACTGTGAGACCCTCTGGTCAAAGCCACAGACTCATTTTGTGTCAGCTCTCCATTAAAGCGGAAGGAGTCGCCCACTAGAGGGTTGGAGTGTTTTCATTTGCTGCTCTGTTCATTTCTCAAGTGAGAAGACTGGAAACTGTTAAGTTAACAACATATTCTTTTGTTTAAAACATATGGCTAAAACTACATTTGATCTTTTGCACTGTTTTGCACTACAAGCAAGAAGCCTAATATCCTGATGCATGCTCAATAATCCAGGTAGAAAAATCCAAAAAAGTTCAATCTGGTCCTCTGGACATTCAAAAAAAAACAAAACAAAGCAAAAAAATATAGAAACGTTTCGTCTCTCATCCAAGAGACTTCCTCAGTCTGAGGTGCTGTTTTCAGCTCAGTCTCTTAAATATACTAATATTTAAGAGACTGAGCTGAAAACAGCACCTCAGACTGAGGAAGTCTCTTGGATGAGAGAC